AGATTTACCAGGCTTTCTTTCACCATCGATTGGCGACAAGCTTCACCCTGACCTACTCCTAAAAACGAGCAAAGACACCCTTACATCATACATCTTAGAATTAACTATAGGTTTTGAAACTAATATCGACATTAACTCTGCTATGAAACACAATAGATATGCGCCTCTTATTTCTGAACTAGAACATCATTTCAAATCAGACGAATCTGTTAATTTTTCCATGGGTTCTCTTGGCACCTTTGGCAATTTCTGCAACTTCTTCATCAACATGTGTGATTTTCTTTCTACCGACCAACAAGGCAAACGGTATCTTATCTCAAATCTCTCCAACGTAGCTATTCGTACGGAAAACATGGACAAACCCAGACATTCTACCATTTTGATATATTTAAATATATAGATTTTAGCTTTTTCTTTCTTACTTACTTTGCATTTTTTTCATACGATGGTTTTAGTCTTATTTTGTAACCCAGGCTAGCCAGTTACAAATTACCTATGTAATAGAGAGGTTTGTAATTGTAGTTTAATTGAAAAGTTTTCATAAATTTATTTACAGTAGGCTGCAATGTACTTAGCTTTTTCACAGCTAATTAAGGCCTATTACAAAATTAAAGTTAAAAATATATATAAAAGGTAAAACTAATACATAAAATACTTCTAATAAATACATAAACGGTAAAATAAAGATCTACATTTTTATAGCTATTTAAGGCTTTTTCTGAAAATAGCTAGGGTCGGTAGAGGAAGGCGGTACAGGTATTGAAGGAGAGAAACAGATTCAAGTCCAATATAGATTTGGAGATCACTTAGTTCAGAACGCCTAAAGGCACTTGTCAATTAAGATCTGTACAAACAAAAGTACGAAGAATCACCCTCCAAGCAAATGTTCCATTCAGGGCAGAAATTGTTGCATTCAGGGCAGAAAAAGAAACAAAGTGTGTTTGTTAGATAGAATCAGTATACGGAGGTCAAATAATGTGAATGAAAATTATGGTGACATTTGTATGGACAGGTTCGAATATGGGCTATTTCGGTCTATATCTTTATTGTTAAAAAAATTAATGCAGAAATAGTCTTACTCGAAGTATGGTGTAAATACTTTTAGCTTCTTGATCAAAACTGCAAGATTGCAAATAAAAATAAAAATAGAGCGTCTAACTACAAAACTTAAACTCTTTTCGGTGAAATTTACAGACGTATTCCATCATACTTTCATATAATGCAATTGCACAGAACTGCAATCGTAGAAAAGACATATATAGTAAATGTTTTTAACTCAAACTGTGGACGAAACTCCAGTTGCCAATCACTATCAAAGAACTTGGTCAGTTAATTGCTTGTGTCCATTCATTGCTCAAATTCCCAAAAATCCCAGACCTATACATCAATCCCAGACCGAATTCCGACTCCAGGTGGTGACTCTGATTGGGTTCTGCCATCTGCATATATCTGGGAATGACGTCATAAAAGTTTAAGAAATGCGATTTAGCTGAGACGGCGACAAAAAGCGAAGGAAGTTGTAATTTGTTGAATAATTGGCTCCAGTCAAAACTCTTCGTCATAAAACTACGCGGCTTCATTTGATCAAGAGCGTCGTATTTGAAAAGTTACTTTCGAGTCTGTTAAGTCAAAGTCTTCCCTCTCTTTTTAAATGTTTGCTTTTGTGATAGGCTAAACCTACCTGTGAGGCGTTTGCAATGCGAGAAGGAAAATTCTTTAATTCCATAAATAAGATTTCTTAAGTACCTTCCTGTTGATTTCAAGCTGTAAACAAACTAGAGGATGCAAATTTATCGGTGGCAATACAAATTGCTGCAAATGTTTGTTCTTCTTCTGAGAATAGCCACATTTTCAACACGATAATTGTGCATATTACGCAACAGGTTTGCCATCGAATAAAAATGAGTTACCCTCGCTTCCTTTCGAAGTAATTGAATCCTTGAAAGCCAATTATACATTGAATCTAGACAAACATCGAAGGTACATATAATACGGGTCTCCCTGGTGCTTGCCATCTTCAACAGCTCTTGTGTTAAAGGAAGAAGTTGCAACAGGGCAATCTATCTGTGAGTAATGGTTTCTAACTTTGCCTTGCAAATTTTTATATCGTAGTTTTATATCAGACATCAGTGAACTGGCACCGCAGCAGCTACGTTTTAGTTTCAATGAAATATGAAAGTGCTATTCTTGCAGTGTGTTATTGACAACCTTGAACCTCTTACACTCGTGCAATAACTGGCTACGCTGCCTATTCTCTATCACAACTTTTTTTTCATATATCCAGATAAAATGTTACAATACAAACTACATTCTACTTTACTTGCTAATTGCTCGACAATGCCAACCCCATGGCCATTACATGCAACTAGACAAACAAATAAGAACGCTACACGTACACATAATCAATGTTACAAAAAAAGAAATATATATATATATATATAGAGAGAAGATTACAGGTACAAGATAATACGTTTTGAAAAACTGAAAATAGCAAATAAGTGGGTGAGGCACAAGATTTAGGGATATTTGATGAAACTGGTTTTATAGTCATTCAAAGCGTTCCATTCTTGAAATTTACAGGATAGTAGATCCCAGAATGAATTTATTTACTTCAAATGGCAATTTTTTGTCGCCGTACAAAAGAATCTGTAAAAGGATAGATAGGATTTGGAACGTTGGTAAATTCAAAAGAGTGCAGTACTGGAATGACACAAGCGAGGAGGTCACGTCTTTGTCCTTCAAAAGAATGGCATGACAATATGAAGTGCTCCGTATCCTCAAGACCATGGTTGATCGGGCACATCGGGTTGATTGTGTCACTAAAATTATGACTGAATTTGTGGAAATTTAGTTTGCTCAACCCTACCCTAAGTTGAGTTAATAAAGAAAGCCCTCGTGGGTCATAGATATCGAAAACAGAGTTAGAAAGTGGTCTTATGATCGACAGCAATCTATTCTTGAATATATCAATGGAAGGCGATTCTCTGATTTCAGGGTCAAGCTGATTCCATTCATGTAAGCTGTTTGGGAAAAAGCTTGACTTATATTTTCCAGTTTTTGCTCCAATTTGTCCAACAACGGGTTGATTAGGAAAAGCATAATATGATTGAATCAGCTGGGGAATAGGATTTCTTAGATAATCTGGCATCAGATTGTTAATGATCTTGTAGATCATAAAAAGTCGTCTACTCCATCTTCTCAAATACATTGTCTCTACTTCATCTACTCTATCACAACTGTATCTGAGATTGATTGATACTTGCATTCCATGCAGATTACATCCAATCGCAATTTAACAACAAAGCTACTACCTATACACATTTCTTTGCCCGCTGAAAATGCAGTAGCTGCAAGAAATGCACACAAGGCATTTCTCTATACCTTTTGGCATTTCTCTAGCAGGCTACCTTTTTGGCATTTCTCTAGCAAGCTACCTTTTTGGCATTTCTCTAGCAGGCTACCTTTTTGGCATTTCTCTAGCAGGCTATCTTTTTGGGCATTTCTCTAGCAGGCTCCCTTTTGGCATTTCTCTAGCAGGATACCTTTTTGGCATTTCTCTAGCAGGCTACCTTTTGGCATTTCTCTACCAGGCTACCTTTTTGGCATTTCTCTAGCAGGCTACCTTTTTGGCATTTCTCTGGCAGGTTACCTTTTTGGCATTTCTCTAGCAAGCTACCTTTGTGGCATTTCTCTAGCAGGTTACCTTTTTGGCATTTCTCTAGCAAGCTACCTTTTTGGCATTTCTCTAGCAAGCTACCTTTTTGGCATTTCTCTAGCAGGCTACTTTTTGGCATTTCTCTAGCAGGCTACCTTTTTGGCATTTCTCTAGCAGGCTACCTTTTTGGCATTTCTCTAGCAGGCTACCTTTTTGGCATTTCTCTAGCAGGATACCTTTTTGGCATTTCTCTAGCAGGCTACCTTTTTGGCATTTCTCTAGCAGGCCACCTTTTTGGCATTTCTCTAGCAAGCTACCTTTTTGGCATTTCTCTAGCAGGCTACCTTTTGGCATTTCTCTAGCAGGATACCTTTTTGGCATTTCTCTAGCAGGCTACCTTTTGGCATTTCTCTACCAGGCTACCTTTTTGGCATTTCTCTAGCAGGCTACCTTTTTGGCATTACTCTGGCAGGTTACCTTTTTGGCATTTCTCTAGCAAGCTACCTTTGTGGCATTTCTCTAGCAGGTTACCTTTTTGGCATTTCTCTAGCAAGCTACCTTTTTGGCATTTCTCTAGCAAGCTACCTTTTTGGCATTTCTCTAGCAGGCTACCTTTTTGGCATTTCTCTAGCAGGCTACCTTTTTGGCATTTCTCTAGCAAGCTACCTTTTTGGCATTTCTCTAGCAGGCTATCTTTTTGGCATTTCTCTAGCAAGCTACCTTTTTGGCATTTCTCTAGCAGGCTACCTTTTTTGCATTTCTCCAGCAGGCTACCTTTTTGGCATTTCTCTAGCAAGCTATCTTTTTGGCATTTCTTCGGATTTCTTTACAATATGCTTTGCCACTACTGTTTGAATGACGAGTGAGGAATTGAGTATCTGCAATATCTGAATGGCTACGTGCTGGATGAAAATACTTCTGGAGCGTCGTTTCTGCCTATATTACGATTCTACATTTTTGAATAGTGTTTGATGATTTTACATGCCATTCATCCCTATTTTACATGGTCTTTAACTAAATTCTAATGACATTATGTTATTCTACGGCATTTAAATCCTCAGTCTAACATTTAACATGGCTTTTCAAATTCTCTATAACTTATATTCCAACTGCTTATTCATTCTGCGTGGCATTATTTATTATATGATTTTATTATACTCTGAGTGGCGTTTCATTTTGTATGGCGTTTCAAATTTCATTTGGCGTTTCAAACTCAATATGGCATGATGCATTGCGGCATGATGCATTGCGGCATAATGTGATCCATTGCGCGGGAAAATACCAGTATAATTCCAGCATGCTATTTCTTTCATTTTGAGTTCCTAATCAAACATATTTTTCCTAGGTAAAAAGAACGAAAATTAAAAGATGAAGACAGCGTTACTGTTTGTCATACTGTGTTCAGTTTACTTAATTACCACAGCATACACAATAGGAAATATGTACGATGCAGTCAGCGTCGATAAAAAGTCTTCCTGCAGGCAGGGATGCTGGGGCGACTTCAAAAGCTGCATCAATACGGACGATAGTTTGTCTGGTCACCTAGTTTGCTTAGAGCAGAAGGACTATTGCTACACTAAATGCTGAACTACTTAAGATGGAAAACAGGCTGGCCCGTTTTCATTGCCGAAATATAGACATGCTTAAAATCTTTAAGAAATTGATATAGAACAGAGTTTTGATTGGATATCATTTGACAATCACTTGATGATGCTCTTCTTATTTGAGTACAAACTAGAGTTTCTTATTTCAAATATCTATAGAATAGCTTTAAACCGTCAAGCCATGAATCAAACATATGCAACAACAACGTCATTGCAACGAACTTAGCAACAGGCTGCAAATTACAGTACAAAACGTTATTTGCATATCACCATGATGCCACATGAAATAATTAGGTGACGGCAGAACGGGGAAACGCAATGAAAATAAAACGGAGCTATGTTGCAGATTTGACAGAAGACAGCAAATGAAAAGACAGCTAACATCAATACAATACATAATCAACTTAACCAGTGACTGACAGGAAATTTCTATCTTAGATAAGACGTTTTACCTAACTGCAGTTTGTAAGACAAAACATGAACAAATTTGCAAGTTACAGTTTGTGAAGTTTCCTAAAGCATACAATAAGAAACTAAAATTAAGTCAAATGATTTTTTAAGACCGAAATCCGCATACTACTTTGCTAGATCACATATTCGTTGCTCTCCCCAAAATTAATCTGATTACATTGACAAAAAGGCTCCAGACATAAAACTAATAGCATTATATCTTGTATAAAACAAAACTTTTCTTACGACAAATTCAGTGATTTAGGGAAAAGAAGGGTAATTTTGGCCCCTTTACGGAAAATAATGGCTGGCTTTAATGCATAGAATAATAGCTTAGTTAAAATTAATAAACAGACTCATTGCAACAACTTTGGTTTGCCTGTTACTGGATAGCCAGAGACCAATCTTTAGTGCAAGGTCGTAATACAAATAAAATACTTCATACTTTAATCCAATACAGGAAAGGCAACGATTTAACATAAAGGGTATCTGATCCAGTATACAAGCAAACTTAAAATCTAAGATTTGGTGTAGATACCTCCCAAGGCGTCATGAGGGGCAACAGGTTCCGCGGAGCGTGCGTGCCAACAGAAGCAGCGCGCAGAGCCTGTCAAGAGACCTGTGTTCAACGTATGTGCTTCGCTCGTAAATCTTTGCATCTCTTTACACGTAAGACAAAATCATAAATGAATGGGGTAGTTGCCAAATACAGTCTGGCCTACTATTTACATCAGTATAGCGATTAGAAAAATCTCCATAAATAGCTCAGTCCAAACAAAATTATCTTTGGAGAGAGGTTTCAAACCTCCCTTAGAATAAGCCACAATCTTTCAAGTTATTTTTTATAATGACGTCGGTTACAGCATCAAAAACGAACTGAATGTTACCAGTGTCGGTGGCGCAAGTGAAGTGGGTGTATATCTCTTTTTCTCCTTTACGGCTGTTGAGGTTTTCAAACTGCATCTGGATGTATGAGCCTGCCTCTTCATACGTATTTGCACCTACAGAAGGGGCAAGAGTAATGGTTAAAGGTTGGGACAAGCATTTGTGCACAAACATAGTTCAAGAGGAGCACAAACTGCAACAACCATAGAATAGAAACAAAGCGATTACAAGTGGCACAAAAAACGTTATACAAAAAGGGCAGTTTACAATACCTGTGTACTCCGGAAAGCAAATGGTAAGGGGTGACTTTTTGATCTTCTCGCCAAACAAATCCTTTTTGTTTAAAAACAGGATTATCGACGTTTCGATGAACCATTTATTGTTGCAAATTGAATCAAAGAGCTTCATACTTTCATGCATTCGGTTCTAGAAAAAAATTCCTAATTACAAAAAGCCAACATGAAAACTAACTATGGAAAATTGAAATATTTTTTTCAATAAATACAAATATATAAAAAACTTGCGATCAAAATTTGCCTTTTTAAAGCCATTTTTAAATTTCATGCCATCAAAAGCTGTTAATAAGTAAACCTGTAAATCAGCCAAGAGTAAGGAATTGAATTAAAAAAAAACCCACCTTCGAATGCCAAGCAAATTATTAATCTAGATTAGTTCAAATTGTGAAAACACAGGCCCTGCTAAAAATATTGTGAATACTGAAGTGTGAAAAAAGTATCAAGCCTTTTCCCAAGTATTGGTCCACTCCATTCCAATTGATATGGAACTATTCTTTAAACAAGCACAAATTCAAACTCTGCCAATATTCTTCGCTTCAGATCCCAATTGCCGTTATAGAAACTTTGTGCGGTCCAAAACGTCCCAATATTTCTGACTGTACCCATCAGTTAACTTTCAATCGGCTAAAAACTGTACACTTATACGACAATAGTAAAGTCACTGAATTGAATAGCAGATAGTAAAGAAGAATAATGGAAAAGTTGCATCGTTGCCCAGGCAGGCCCTACCGTTTCTTCATCCTCTGCCAATACCAGGTCATATGCACTCAAAGATACGCAGAATATGATTGCTGTCACACCTTCAAAACAGTGAATCCATTTCTTCCTTTCTGACCTTTGACCACCAACATCAAACATTCTGGGGTAGATAACAATATCAATTATATACTGAACTTGTGTCTATTTCCCCATAAAAAAATACAATTTACAGAGGCTTATACAAAATCAATGCAATGAAATTGAAAACAAAAAAGAAACACAGTAGCCTAGTCAATTTGCAATGAAAAACTGTCACTTCGAATATCAAACAGCTTTTAAGCCCATGATGTGCTTGTCATATTCCTCTATTATAAATCATTCTTGAAGAGGCACCAACGCAAAATCTCGACCCCCGAAAATTTTAAAAAGATTTTGGTCTTACGAAGTGGGGACAAAAGTTCCACTGAAAAATGGATTTACATGCTTTATATCACATACACGTCGCGAGAAACAAGCGAGAGAACCCAGTACGATTTAATTTTTTGGCAACCTAGTATTCTTGAGGTCCGATGGTCATCAACAAATATTCGATTGATCATTTGATATCCGAAATTTTCGTTCAAAATCGGTGTTCAATTTTCAGCGAGCGTGACGAAAATCACGCGCTGGTCTAAATTAAATCTTACGATATCGGCCTCCAGATGACCCGCACTCACAGGCACTCGTACCTTTGCTCGCTTTAATTTTCTTCCCCTAAATTAGACCCCCTTTCTATATTCCAGACAACATTGGGCCTTTTTGTGATAGTCTTTGCTGTTCACATAACACACTACAACGACGAAAAATGTTTATTGGCGATGCCAAATTCTTTGCGTTGATGCCTCTTTAAATACATCCAAATTTAAAATGCACTTGTGAACATAATCATTTGCTTTTCATGCATTAGCAGAAAATTTGCATCAAAATTAATCAATTGTTCATCTGGATGCCCAATGACAGCATTAAGCGTGAAACCATGAGTCTCAACTTAAAACCGTCCTGCTCTATACCCCAAAAGCGTTAACAGCTCTGCCTATACGACTCCAGCGCTTCAACAGACAGCTAAAACGTCATATAATCTTCAAAATATAGTGCCCCTTTTGCCCATATATTGTCAACATATTACACGAAGCTTCTTTCCAATTAATAATATCATGTCAGGTTGCATGTTTTTACGATAAATGCAAGTATTTTTTACTAAATACAAATCAGTTAACTGGTACAAAAGATATACCTACTTGAAGTGCAGGTCTTTGAAAACAAAATGAGTTTCAACAATGCCAGTCGTTTTGACCCTAGTTCGTAGAACATCTTGCTGTGTTGGGGTGTAATTTGGGGCACCTATACGATCCAGTGCTGACAAGTAACTAGAATAAAAGATTGAAATTTTTTTTGATAATAAAAAAACTTTAAAGGAATACTGACAAAATTTCATTACAGTCCCTTATCAATAACTATCATATCTTAAAAATTTAACCTAATGAAATAATTAATTAAGTGACCTTATCATTTACCTAAGCTATGAGTGCAAATAGGAATACCGTAAAAGCTCTATTAAGCCCCCTCTCTATGAAGCCCCACTCATCAAGCGAATATTAAAAATTAGCTTCCCTCTCTAATAAGCCCCTCTCTTCAGCCCCTAATGTCAAACAAAGAAAATGTGCGCAGTGAGTGGGTTTCTTGATGGATGAGATTGTATGTATTAAATACGGTCCATGTAAAGATTTATTTGTGTGCCTTAGAAGTCAGTCAAAATTTGTTTAGAGGATATCCCAGGGGGTACAAATTGATCTTGGTGACTCTGCGGAAGATAAAGGCATCATATTTGATTGATTTTAAAAAAACTTTCGAAGCTGCTAGCAAAGTTTTTTGAGGACATTTACGTGATATTTTTATAATAAAAAAAATGCATAAGGGCTCTTTAAAACATTGTTTACATCGAATTATTAATAAACCCCCCTATCCAATAAGCACCATTCTCTTTCAAGGCCCCTCTAGGACTGAAAAAATAAATAACCCCCTCCCCACGGGGGGCTTAATAAGGCTTTTACACTATCGGAAACCACCGGAGCAAAAGCTTCTTTATCAGATGTCAACTGCCCGTCTCAAAAGCTTCTTGTTTTTCGTGGGCGACAATAATCTTTTCTGGGGGCGTTTATTAGTTTAAACTAGCATTAAGCACCCATCATACGGTGGGTAGTACTAGTCTTTCATCGCTTATCAATAAATTAATTAACCATTCTAACTCACGTGAGGAAACTTCTCATCCCACAACCAAGTTTGACCCCGCAATTCACGTGGTTAGGGTTATCAAAAAGCAAAGGCTCGCAAGTTTTACGAGGATATTTTACTGTTACATAAATACATCTTCATCCTAGAGAGCAAAATACTCCTACTTTAAAAAACAAACTTCTCGAATTCAAGCCTCTTCTCTGCTGAATTTTAGTTAAATGAAATCTGTTCATTATTCTGAGATCTGAAATAGGTTTTTCTATTTACGTAGAAAGATATTCTATACATTTCCCAACATTTACTTAAAGCAAACTTATAGGATACTGCATCTTAAATCACAATGTAATAATGTAACAATAGAAACAGGTCTTCTTTAAGTACTGAAAATGTTGAATTCTCAAAGGTGAATAGAACTTGCTAATGATTGAACAGGTGCCTTCCAAAACGTTGGCTGATTAAAAATGTTCACAGTAGAAAAAGAAAAACTTACTATCCAGCAGAGTCATTTAGTTGGTATTCTCTTGATCTTCCAAAGCAAACCTGAAGACCCTCATCTGCCCAAAGCCTTTTCATTATACCAACAAGCTCATGTGTCAGCTCACCATCTTCCACGCTACTAGCCAAAGCAAATAACTGCCTTGCATCTTCCTGTCATACAAATGAGGTATTTGTGAATATATACATACATCATAAAATTGATTGATTGATTGATTGACTGATTGACTGATTGACGCGGTATAGACATGCAAAGCATAACAAAACTGAAAATCAGGAAAATCCATATTGTTCTTCATTCTGCACTTGGCATTAAGCCTACAACTCCTTATTGCTAAAATTTGCATATTTCCATTTGGTGATATGTATCTAAGTAATATGCAAAGTTTTATGTTGGGGTTTACATGGGTTGCAAAGTTATGGCCATTTCAATAGAACAGGTTTAATAAGTTGGAAGCAATAAGGTTCTAAATATAAGATGAATTGGTCTAATCTAATGACTTCTTGTGTTCAAGATCTTCATTTTGACAGTGTTTCCCTCATTATCGAATCAATGGTCAATTCACTCCTTAACAAGCCACATAAGACTTAAATTGAAAGAAAAGAGCTCTGGTGATTTTTAAGATGAGTGATTTGGTCCTCATCTTGTTACATGACTACAGCAGATGTTTAAGTGTGTAGAACAGGGTTTTTCTAAGTTACAACTCTGGGCATAATCCTTGTTGTGATCATTAGATAGCCATTATAAACTCTACGGCATATGTAGCTGTCTAAATAAAACACTATAGAAAGGACCAGTTATCAGTTATCTTGATTATCAATTTTTCAAAACAAATCTACTAACTATTCAACTTGATATGTTGTAAGTTTGTAACTCGAAACTTCACTGCAAAGAAATTAAAAAATATGTCTCGCTACAGTCTTTGAAATATGAGGTGTGTGATTGCAAGCATACATCCAAGCACATGCTCAAATTGTCCAAGGCATGCAAAACATGGCATATGCAAAAAACTTTTGGAGGAAAAGTTCTTGAAAACTCAACTTTTAGCATAGCCAGACGGTTCAGAATGTTAGAACGGTTCAGAGGTATTGAAAAATATAGACAAGAAGAAGATTGAAGCGTTTGAATTACTGTGCTACCGCTGTTAACTTCACATCAGTTGGATGGAAAAGAAAACCAATCAATAGGTTCTGGAAAATATGACTGTAAACAAGAGGTTGCTAACAACTTCAGACAGAGGACATATGCAGTGATTTATTTCTAGGCATTGTTTATGGGAAGAGAGCAAGACAGACCAGAAGAGGAGCAACAACATCAAAGAAATTGCTGGTGGAAAAGATATGGTACAGTTATTGGCACAGGATAGAAGAAAATGGAGAGCCATGGTAGTTTATTCTGAACCTTCCACTAGAAGATGATGAAGATATTATTTGAAAATTCTAAAAGTATTCCCATATTTGGTTTTGAAAATAGTAAAACAGTAGAGTCTGAGTTGAAAACAATAGAGTCTGCACGCAGGCTATTCCCATATGTGATTTAACAACAGCCTAACAAATGGGATTTAACAACCACTGTTTCTCCATCAATTTTTCTTGATAATAAGAATAAAAAACAAAACAAAAAAGCTATTATTAACGCACATGCAAAGTAATCAAGATGTGGGAAACACCACATGCAACCATTTACATATTACAAAGACTGCTAGCTAGCATTTGGGTTTTAAAAATGGCTTTAGCACAGAAGACCTCAGGACTTGATTCACTATGAATTTCTTTTGCAGATAGATACTTACTGCTCTGTCAGGATGACCATAGTCAATCTTCAGTGTGCCCATAGCCCGTATTATTGCTTGCATCGACTGTATAGTATTACTGAAAACCACAGGTTTATACTGTTTGCACTCCTCTGGGGAATAGCCACTTTCATGGATGATTCTAAAAAAGATATCACAGTTGTCATCAACAAACTTGTAATAGGCATTCGTCATTTGAAATTAGTGCCTTTCAGACCAAATGTTAAAGGAATAAAAACTTTGCACCCAAGTATTTTACACACAGATAAACCATATTACAGCCCTGGTTTTTCTTTTTTGTTTCGTTGAATTTCTTGTTAATTTTCTATAAAATAGTTCAATGATTTCTTTTGTGTGTTATTTTGATAGCATTTTCTTTGTTCTGTTTATCAATATATCCTTCCATACTAGATTTTGCAGGTTTTCATCCATGCTAAACAAGATGATCAAATGAAAAAGAGAACTAACTAAATGAATTGTGATTAAAATTATGTTGTTTTCAACATCAATATGCAAAATGTTTTTCTGCCAAAACAAACCAGGAAAAAGTGAAAAAGCTTGGAAAACAAGCTACTTGTATGACAATTTTCAGTAATTTTTAAAAGCCTCCTTATTTGAGTTAGCACCCTTCAAGAAATGTCCCAAACAAACAAACAAACCCCCAAAAGGTTTGCAAAATGCAAAATTCAGTTTCTAAAGGATGCTTCAAGCTTCACACATGTTTGCTTATGTGAGATTGCAAACAAATAAAAATGCCAAAGTTTAACAGTAACATCTTTAAATGGATATATATGTAAAAGTTTCAAGAGCTCTTATATAAACTTGTACTTACTTCATCTGTTTCACAATTGTACTCTTCCCTGATTCCCCAGCACCTGGAATAACAAGCAATGCTAAAACTTTACTTTTTAAAGAAAATTTGGTTTGTTTTGAAAATACATAATTAAGTTTCATGCATACAACAATCAGGAAGACTCAATACATACATGTGGATACTGAATAACAAAAAATGAATTCTGAAAAACAATAAGCTGCAAAACTAGTACACTGCTAACATTATTAGGGAAGTTCTAAAGACAAATGAATACTAGTTTTAAGGTCTAGCTACTTTAAATGTAAAAATGAAAATCATTATGGAAGGAGCATTGTTTAGATGGCATTGCATATCAGTGTTTACTCTATACTCAGAATGTGTAAGCCCTGATCCCTTATTTTTGGTAAAAATGATCCTTCCCAACCCCCAAAAGAACAACAGTGCTGGTCTTGGTCAGATTCTGCAGGAAAAGATTCAACTGGTAAGTGTAATGGACCTGCTGTGTTCTTTTACAACCTCTTCTAAGTTAAAAAAACTTTGTCCATGCATCTTGGTATTGCAAACACTAAAATTTGTCAACTGTGCAAATTCTTGGTTGCAAACTAGCAACTTTTGATCAACACATTAACTTTTGTGCTACGTCAGTTCACTCACTTCTTGACACTAAATGTTGATAATAATTTTCAATTAGTTTAACTGGCTCTAAAAGTTAAGAAACCTGTGGCAAGGTTGATCATGACTCTAGTATTATCCGAAAATTTTTAAAACCAAACACTCTTATAAAACAACAAAGGATCTTTCTAAATTATTTTGTCATTTTTGAACATAATAGCTATACACCTGAAAGCTTTCAGCTATGGCAGAAAATTACAGAATTTATTATCTTTTTGTGCAAACATTTTTCAGCATAAAGATGAAACAAAACAATCTTATAAACTTTTAAAATAAATCTTGAAAAAGGTTTAATGCTTTGCCAACAGCTAAATGTGGTGGTGGAATGTGACTAAATTTCTTCAAAACATTAAAAGGAAAGAGAATGAAATAAACATCTTTGACGGAAAATGTAAGATTTAAGAATGCAGTGTAATGAGCACTTTATGTTGAAAATTAACGCATAAAAGTTGTTTGTGATCTTCTTCAAGCAAATTCTTCTTCTAGTCTGAAAATTTGGACCGTTGGTGTTAAATATTGCATCACCAATTTCTTTAAAAATTTCTGTTTTTCTTCGCACATCGCAAAAGTTAAAAAAATGTGTTGTCAAATCAAACATATTGATGAATAATAGACCCAAAGTGAAAAGCACGAACTGTTTGTTTTTTGATATACGTAGAAATGTTTTGGCCTTAGGCCCATAGTTAGACATACAAAAGAAGCGTGATTAATGCAAAAGATATTCAAACATTGACCAAAATGTAGATTCACTTTACTGTATTTTCCACATTCTGCTAAAATTTCTGTACGGTATCGCTGAAGCTAAAACCGCTAACAAACTACTTAGACCAAATAACACAACTGACCTAACAAAAGCAATTTGACTTCTCTTGCAGCTCGTTCGCCATCTGCCTTTAAATTCTTGTCAATCATCTTACTCCTCTCTGCTGCAACTTTGTCTTCTTGACTAATTGTACAGCCCATCGTTCCTTTTTCATAAAAACAAGCAAAATGTAGAATACGTTTCAATTTTCAGTGTAATCCACTAGAATGACTAAAAGAGACCTTTCGCGATAAACTTTTGCTCGGGATGTTCTATTCTTGACTACCAAGACGAACGTGGTTGTGCTTGCTTAGGCGACGGGCGACTTCACCCGCATGTAAACCACTAACTGATCTATTTGTCCTCAAAGTTTTCTCAGCGACTCTTGAAAATACAATGGCCCGATACTGCTTCTGGCTTCTATTTCTATTCCCGATGTTATAATATAACTGACATACAACTAAACGCTGCTAAACCAGTTTATCACGCATTTCACTTTATCGACTTCCGTTTACTTTTGCTCCACCTAAATTTGCTTGAGTACAGTGAAGAAATAGCAAAATTAGGCACCAGGCTCCAAAAACGTTATTACAGGCACCGCGCAGCCATTGAGCTAGCAGGGGCCGTAGCCCCCTTTTTTCCAATGCTAGGTTAGACAATCTTTTGGAAAGTTTACTCTTACGTAACTTTGGATATTTTATTCTAGCAGATTCCACTCTAACAGATCCTAAAGCCCTGGCAAAGCGACTAAACATTTGTTAACAACACTAAACAACGCTCAACATTTTTGAAAAGAACAAAAACTTTGCTCAACAACACTCGACACGACTAAACAACATTAAATAGCAGGCCCGTTGGAACTGGGGGGCTGGGTGCTAGAGCCTCCCAATAATTATCAAACCGTAGTATGTTTCCTTTATAATTCCTTTATAACAGTGTAGTGAATGAGAAGAAAAACAATGAGCAGACCCCCCCCCCCCCCCATATGAATTTCGTTCCGACGGCACTGAACAGGGTGGCACAACGAACAAACTTTCCACTAAACTTTTCACTAAACAAAAGTTGAGTGAAGTGTTTTGTGAAGTTTTTATTCCTTTTGCCAGGCCTAGAAAAGCAAGGCCGGCGGCACCGGGATGAACTTGTGTTTGTGCATAGTATTCCCTTAAATATGTTCTTGGTTTTAACTTTAGCTATTGTGTCTTTACCATAAATGACAGAGAAAATTGAAAATAGGAATTTAATCAGAGATTTTGGTCATTGCCAAGTTGTTCAAGGTGTAACAGTGTAGAAAACAGATCGAAAAACCTGGTCCAGAATCACTTGGTGCCAGCACTAATTGACGGAGTTTCGTTTTTTCTATGGCCCAAAATTGGCTCACAAGGTCTATTTGTTGACGGGAAAATTTTTAAAAAACGTTACAAATAGAGAGAAATCAGCTGTTGAAGGAGAAGAAACTCATAAAAAGATACTTTTTGAGACTATATAGGAAACGAAATATCGGCAGAATTTTTCTTTGAAAGTATCATCAAGATAGCTTCAAAGTTTGATTTTATTGATTATCCGTTTTTACTAAGCACGAAAACATCTAGACACAGTTATAAATTCTACCAAACTAGTTTAGACCAGCTCAGTTTAAAAGGTTCTCAAATCTTTTTTGGTTAAAAACTCTTTATTCCGGGAGAACTTAAGATCAGATTTTGCAAATAATAGGTCCCAACTGTACAAAATTTCTTAAATAGGCATCAATGCAAAAATTGCCAAAATTATGTGAACAGCGAAGACTATCGCAAAAAGGCTTAATGTTGTCTGGAATACAGAAAGGGGGTCTAATTTCAGGGCCGCTGGACGTATGTTTGAACAGGGGGGGGGGTGGCCAAAACGAATAAAAAGGGCACGAACATCTTTTTTCCGAAACAGTAGTGAGTACCAAAAATGGTACAGATTTCATGGTAATTCAGAAATTTATAAGAAAATGACACATGTTGGACATAGTGAGAATTATCTTTGCTGAAAGAAGACATGGCTATTTACTCCATTTAGGGACCACGCACTCTTGATCATAGCATAGTCAATAGAAAAAATTGACAATAGTTTTTCTATTGACTATGATCATAACTATTTGTATATCTTCCCATCTCATGGGCTTCAAAGTTTTTTGAGAGTGTAAATCTTTCTTCCGTGTATGATTTACAATACGCTGTACTTATTTTCCTTATAATTTGAATTGTAAATGGATTTGGCCCCGGGGAAAAAGCAAGCACACATCCTTCTTTCATACCTGTTGCAGGCGAATTACACTCGACAAATGTTTAGATTTATTGCAACATACCAACGAATCTAACCCAAAATATGAACTGAATGGAATTTTTGAATTCTTAGTCTCTATATACTTCAATGCCAAATCCAATCCCTCTCCCTTTCAAAGAAAAGTTTCAGTCTCTATGATTTATCGAAAGCTAGTTCGAATAATCATTTTAATTTTCTTACTTATATATTTAAACAATTTAGTCTCCCTTGGTATTTGTGCATTTTCATCGCCACTTAAACACATGATTTTAAGTTTAAGTCATCTTCATGCAATCGGCTGAAGGTGCGGGCACATTCTTCGCTGCCATAGAAAGTGTAATTTGCATAATTGATTAGGTTTATCTCATCAGTCTTATGAACGAAACAAGCTTTCAACTCTCCTTAAACTTGATCCCGGCGGGCTCAGTCAGTTGGTCAAACGTATTACATCTGACTTCTGAAAAAATCTATGAAAGGATGGTCTGAAAGCTAGAATTCTGGGACATAGAATCTGCTTTTTCAATCAGTCAAAGAAAACACAAAAGGGCAGGAATTTACTGATATGATGTTACAGATAATTTTTTAGGTAAATCGGTGGCATCAAGAAACTACAACAAATTTAGCATCTAGTCTTGTATATTGTTCTAATCCTAGATAAGAAACTTAAGTCTTTGTTTTAGTCTTTGCTAGCATGTACTCATTGCAGAGACACAACTTCTTCATGTCTTCATAAAAACTTTAACACAATGTTGTGAAGTAAGCAATATATTGTCGTTATAGTTTTACTGTTGTCTGATTTTGTTAATATGTATTAAGAACCATAAGGGATTGTTGCTAAAATCAAATATAGTGAACTCTTTTTTTTACTTGCCTAGACATAAGTTTAAGAAAAGGAATGGTTCTAACATGAATTGGTATAAAAAACTCCTGCTCAAGCTCAAATATTCTCAGTGAAAAGGGTTACACAATTTTGGCAAAGGCACAGAATAGGGTACATTTTACTTAACCCAGAATCAGAGATAGAGGTCCAGTACTACTTTCAGGAACACACACGATATACATTGGACCAACTGACGACTGTGCACGCCGGGTACTTGATGCGGGCCTTTCACAAATGCATTTGTTGCTGAAGACATACTACGGAAATTTTCTCGCAAAAATAGCAGTCTCCTTCGCAGTTGATATTATTCATCACAGGAGCTTGAGTTTTTTTGCATCAAGACCAAGTGAAAATTTGAGGAAATTCCAGTGAATGGTTCTCCAACAACGTCCAGAGTTATGTTATTTTACTCAATTTCTATAGGCAGAATATCTGACATTGAAAAAATACATGCAATATATTCATCGAAATGGGGCACTTATTTATACTTTTTGCAAACAGGGGGACCTGTGCCCCCGTGGCCCCCGTGGCCCCCTTGCTCCGGCGAACCTGAATTTAGGGGAAGAAAGTTGAAGCGAGCAAGGGTACGAGTGCCTGCGAACGCGGGTCGTCTGGAGGCCGATATCGGAAGATTTAAACGAGCGCGTGATTGTCGTCACGAGAAAGGGTGAAAGAAGAATGGTTTCTATTCTGGACAAGGCAGAAGCTTGCCTTGTGCCGAGAAATCCCTAGGCAGAGGCTTGCCTTGTGCCGAGAAATCCCTAGGCAGAGGCTTGCCTTGTGCCGAGAAATTCCTAGGCAGAGGCTTGCCTTGTGCCGAGAAATCCCTAGGCAGAGGCTTGCCTTGTGCCGAGAAATCCCCACCTATCGACCGAGATTTCGGATTTCACACGATCAATCGATTATTTGTTGATGACCATCGGACCGTAAAAATACTAGGTTTTTCAATGTTGTTGATTTTTCAGTGAAAATGTTTTTAGCTACTTTCTAAGTCCAAAAAATATTTCATTACGAGCTATATCTAAAAGGCTGTTTTAAAACTTTGCAAGAACTTTTCTATTTTCATGTCAACAGCACAATTGACAGAAGTATCGGACATTTTGATTAAAAAAAGCTTGAAAATATTGCTTTGGACCTTCCTTCAGTCAAAATCCATTTCAGATATAGCTTTTTGGTCATCCTCAAGATTTCATATTTCCAAACTTTTTCTTGCCGCCAAACATGGTTGTGGCTTTTGCTAAACCCTTTCAGAAATTTCGTATTGGTCCCTCCACTTTCAAATACGTTTTGCCGGCCATGTGAAGCAGCAGCTCTTTTTGACTGGGACACCCTTTTTTGTTAATTTTTTCAGTGTTTTATCTTCTTTAATAATATTTTCTATCTTGGTTAGCTTGGTGTTCAATTGTCCTCAAGCGTATCATATTTATGTTGATAGTAATTAAAAGCTTCTTTGAATAAGGCTGTTTATAAATGATTAGTAAAAATAAGAAAGTACTTTCTAAGAGGAGCATTCTCTGGCGTTCCAAAAGGCGTGGTCTAAGAACATTTTCGATCACGTCCTTTTCGGCCCCCTCCCACTTTTAAACTGGTGCGCGGTGCCTGAAACATTAATAGCGAGATTATGATACCTCGGCCAGCAACCATAAATGGATTGGACTGTTTCACACGCCATTTTCAAAATCTAAACTCAGGAATAAGAACAAATAACCATTTAAACAAGCTACATACAGCAACAAATGGAACTATGCTGATACAAGGCAACTACCATGTTATTTCCTATTTTAATTTCATAAGAAGACTGAAAAAGGAAATCCTTATTTTGAGAAATAAATCTCGAATCAACCAGCCAGATGATGCAATCTATTTCAATATAGAACAGATTGCCAACAAGTGTCAAAGGGTGATAAGCTGACGAAAGCATTCAACAATTTCAAGAAGCATATGCCGATGATTTTGATTTTCAATTCTTGAATGTACAATTGTATTCCCTTTATTTCCTTTTAATGAGTTTATTACTTAGCTAATAATCACTTCACAATCAGAGATCTAGTGTACCATCTTCAAGCATGAGTCAAAACAGCGTTTGAGTTGCTCGGACTGTTTGTTCCAGTCATGCCACCATTTAGGTCTAAGAATATAATCACTCGGGACAGGTTTAACCATTGATTTAGTGTAGGAGATTAGTGCAGAAATATAGCAAGATTGTGCAAATTGTGATACAAGCGCCTAAATTTCAGAAAATGCCAAGTTTGATACGCTGAACAACATGTGATATAGACCCAAATAGTATCTTGTCCTTATGATCTATTTTTAGACAGGGCTACTCTAGCCATAAACGGAGAACGCCAGGCTATGGAAAGTTGAAATTCACAGTATAAAGGCAGTTTGATACGTTGAAGAACATGTGATATAGACCCATATCTTGCCCCTAAGTTCTATTTTTAGACAGGGGTGTTCCGCTCAAGACCCCTAATTGTACCTTTGGTCATAAACGGAGAACGCCAGGTCATAGAAAGTTTAAATTTATAATGAAAAGACCGCTTCACAGGCCAAAAAAGATGTGATATAGACCCAATTCAAAATTTGCCCCTAATTTCTATTTTTAAACTGTGGTATTCTGATCCAGGCCCCTAATTGTACCATTGTCTATAAACAGAGAACGCTAGGTCATACAAAGTTGGAATTTTCAATATAAAGGCAGTTTGACACGCAGAAAAGTATTTGATAAAGACCCAAATCATATATTGCCTCCTTAGTTCTATTCTTGGACTGAGGTACTCTATTCCAGACCCCTGATTGTACCGTTGGCTATAAAAGGAGAATGCCAGTTCATAGAAAATTGAAATTGATAAAAAAAGACAATTTAACAGGCCAAAAAAGAGGTGATAAAGAGGCTGGATCTTACTGGAAATATTTATCATTTGATTTTTGAAATGCAACAAGTGCAAGTGTATTGATTTCTTGGAAACACAAAACTGAACATTAGTATGCTAGGAAGAGGCAATGCCCCTAGGTCACTTTTTGCTGTTCTCTCTTTCAAAAAGTTAAAAACCCTTTTATTGAATAATTTCGTCGCTGTGAAGGGTGTTCCTCTCAATGAAGCATCTAGTGAAGGGGCCTAATTTTCAACTCCCAAATAAAGACTGGAAGAAAAATTGAACTGATTTCAAATATAAATTTTTAATTACTGAAAACTATGAACAAATCTAATTAACTCAATTTAAAATTTTTCACATAAGGAATGAAAATGCTTCATTGCTATGCTGTTATAATGCATTATAAGCTGTCTCTTACCAAAAACGTTGTGGATGAGAAATTGATCTTTCCAGTCACAAATATGTAACTTTTTTACAGGTGGTCCAAAAAAAATGTAGGGTAGAAATCTTTCTTCATTCTTGGGAGAAACTCCTAGAGCGTTAGTTAACATTCCCATGTATGCATCTTCATTTATTATCTGTTTTATCTTTTTGCCCATGGTTGTTACATTTCTTATGATAGAGCTTCTTAGAATATAACCTCCGCCAGCACAATACGGCTTGTAGTAGTTATCTTTGTGTTCTGCAACTGAAACATAGTTTCGGTGTTTCGGGTCTCGAATAACTGGCATTTCATTATTCACTCTTCCAATATAGCGATGATGTGAGGGCAGATTTTGCAGCCATGGTAAAACTTTAAAGATATTTACAAAACAGTCATCGTCTGTCTTCAAAACGAACTTTGCTTGGCAGTTTTCTGCAATCCACTCTAAACTATTCATTGTTTTATTTGGTAGATTCTTGTACGTATCTTTGTATGGAAGTCTGAGCATGTCTTTATACCTCTCGTTTTCAAGTGCTACAAGATTGCCTATATTCGGAGAATTGGCTAAGCCGACAGAAAAAATGCTCTTCCATTTATAATCTATGTTATTCTTTTTGATATAACTGTTGATAGCTGAGTCCATCCTACCCCATGACAATCGAATTGCCACTCTATTGGCAAAGTTTCCAGGCCTTGTCGTGACGAGTATGATCAAAAGGTAGTGCTCATTGCAGTCCGGGATTTGCCTTGATTTGGATTGATCTCCTGGAAGGTTGCTTGTTTTGTGCAAATACTCAGAAATATCTTGTTTTGCTTTGAGGAGACATTTAGATGCAAGTTTGAAGAGTTCAGAAGCATTGTTGCTTGAGAATTGCGTTTCCTCTCCATACCTTTTGTACGGTGAACTGTGACTTCCATTCTGTGGCTCAAAGAATCGTGTTTTTATAAAAAGAGGAACTGGTGTGTTTGCCATCTTGTGGAAATAAAGGCTTAAAAAGCATGCCAAAGCAACAAGAGTCAGAATTCGTATCCTTCGAGAGCTCATTTGTAGCATGAAGATGGTAGCAACTCTCTCTGTAGCATGAAGGTGGTCCTAAATTGTCACACACTCGGTGCAAGGTTAATTGAAATTTCCATTTGATGCCAACTACAGTCCTTTCCTTGTCAGTCCAAACGAAAAAGACAAGCCATGCCGGACAATGATGTGCAGTACCACTGAGTGGTATGATTGGTGAGGCACCTGCCTATCATACATTTAAAACAATAATCTGCAGGTTCACAGATCAATGATCATCATGTTTCACAATTTACCCAAGCCATTCACCACTCATTAAAAGTGACATATTTCAACTTCATAACGATTCATTCATTTTAACTTCATTCAGTTTCAACAAATTGAATAAAAAAGGGATAGATTTCACATACATTAAAACAATTCTGGTTCTGAAGCAGTTGACAGTATTTGGCATTTTCAGATATTCTTGGCTAGAACTATGTTTTCTAGCTATATGAACCAGAGGGAAAGAAACTGAACTGTAATAATCACGAGAGAGTGTGAGAATCAAAACGAGCTATGTGAATATGATATGTGATCACGAGCAAGTCGTAATCATCGAGCTTTGTGAATTATAATGAGTAGCGCTTTTATGGTAAAACTGTCTTACGTCGTCTTAATAGCAGGTGCAACTAACTACCGTCATGCAAGCCTCGTGCAAAACGGTGACCTGTTTAAAGTTTAAGACCTGATTACAATACGATACCTGCAGCTCAACAAAGGCATGTCTGCACTGCAGTAGATGATCAGGATCATTGCGATGAATTCAATAGTCAACTAACATTTATCATTCTTTCCTAAATTAAGACAGTATCCAACCAAGTCATATGTAGCAAGCAGTTATTAGTAGACAATTTCCTGTTTTCTTGAAGACTGATCCTTTATGTCTCAAAAAACAAATACTATACACAGATATTGAAAACCCATGAAAGCTATTTACTTGAGTTGCAATGGTGGGTTTTTCAGAAAAAAAAACTGGCTAAGTTTTGAAAATGCTTGATGACAAACCATGTATCCGAATTTTGGCAAAAAGAGTTCTAGTTACTTGTCTATGTTCTCCGTAAAGATGAAAATCAAAGTTAGCAGTTGTGCATGTTCATACCAATGATAGATTATTAGTTTTGATGACTAAGATGTAATCAGGGACAGAGGTTTGTAGGTAACTACTGCCAACTCAGTGGTGTATGTGTAATTTGAGCCACAAATTCATTATCGTCTATGTGATATTGTTAAGATCCTTTTTTATGAAAAATTTAAAAGAGTGAAGAAAATAATGATTACGCTATCAAATCGTACAAACCTATCCTGCTTAAAAAGAATTTTTATATGATAAAACTTTTCAGAGGAGACATGGCTTTGATTCTGTATAAGACTCAAATATATAATAAGCAGTTAGACAATATCATCAGTCGGTGATAATAGTTCAAAAAGTTTAGACGTTAGGACGATTAATGCTAGATTCAAAGCGTTTAGACAAATCATGCGGTAACACGGTGAACAGTAATATGTTCCTTCCAAACTAAAAGGCAGACAGTCCGCTATTCAGCACAGTTTTTTTATTACCAAACAAACATACAGTTCAGTGTAAGCGTACAAAGGAACTCATTGATGCAAATTATTTTAAAGAAAGGCAAAACAAGTCATCTAGAGAACTTAACTATTAGTTTCATCAGCCACAAAGAGAAGGGTAGCACCATTTTTTATTTGTTAACCAAAGCCTCTTTGCTATAAATAAGTCATTTCTTGGATACGCTTGCTGTTTATGCCTTGATTACCAGCTTATGTCTGTTATTGAATAGAGCTTCTTATACATGTTAGATTCTACCAATTTTCTCAAATCATGCTTGACATGGAAATGTTAAAGAATAGGCAAAGACTCCTCCAATGCCTGCGATTCGAGGTATGCTTGAACGAAACGCAGGTCTTTCACAGGCAGTGTCTTGGTCATTTTGCAACAGATTAAACTGATTTGCAACATTTAGAGGCATTCCTCGAGTTGTTTCAGGTCATGTAGTTTCAGGTCAGAGTTCTGAAGGTATATCTAATTACGTTATCATTTTGCCGCTGTCAAAACGTTAGCATTCGGAGACACGTGTCCATTTACTTTTATAACAGGCCTTTTGTCTGTAAGTCGCTTTTAATTTGTTGGTTTTAGCCGGTATCTTTCTTTGCATGCGATTGTTCTCAAAGAATCAATGGTTCTTTGGGCAGGTTTGTCAGATAAAAGAAATTCCCGAAAAATCTTGCCATGGGATGCTTTTTCGAAGAAAGTAAAGCTATTTGGGCGGGACATAGGAATACTGCAGGGCGAAACATGTCTTCGAATAAGAATATATGTATATATGTATGTGTGTATTCTCAAGGGAGAACCTCTCTCTATGCCTCGTGCTCCTAACTCTTCTTGACAATTTAACCCCACCAGATTTGATGAAGGATCGAGTGGCAACTTGCAAAGGTGGCAACTTTGATGATAGGGAAACTTTTCATGCCGTTTAGTCTTTAACACAAATGCAAGTATATTGGGTGAGGTAAAGATATGATCATGGGTGTGGTCTCTTGAATTTGCCTACAACATAATTCCTCTACCTAACTTTTAGGACGGCATGCCTGTAGGTACCTAGGTAGGGCTAGTGCACCACCTCTCTGATTGAGCAAGGGGAACTTATCCAATTTCTTGCCCTGAAGCCTGAGTTGTTTGGTAATTTGAGAAATTGAAGTTAAATTCAAGGTTTTGACTTTTATGTAACTCAGTCTGTAATGCAACGATATACCTTGTTACTAACGGGTGAAAGTCCTGCCATGGCCTTGCCACTTGCCAACATTTTCTCTTAGTGTGTTTAAGGTGATTGCAATCATACTATCAACATCTTTCAAGTTTTCTAGCTACCTCATATTCAACTGTTTTCTTGATTTAAATATGGACGAGACATTTTTAAAAAGGATGTGTTTAAGTGCCTTTATGTTTTTAGACCCATCCACTTCTGTTCTGCTTGTTGCGACACTGGTCTTGTGATACCCCCATTGATTCTGAAAGCAGCGCAGTTTGTATCACATGATAACAATGAGTGCAAAAGGGTCAAGTTGAATCAAACAGCTTTCCTTCTCTCTTCGAATGGCATAAAACGCCTTAATGTAATGGACTGACCATGGAACTCTACGTATAAGTCTAAATAGTTTACCACTTACTCTGGTTTTAATGAACCTCTTCCAATGACAAAAATTTTTGTTTATCAAGCGAATAAAAGTACAATAATTTACTAGCAGAAGCTAGTTGCTCATTCAAAGTGACAACTTGACACTGTAAAAGAAGAAATGTCATAATTTATATGCATTTCAACGCAAATGTTTACATTGTGAGATATTTGCCACTGGCTTGCTTTAAAGGATGTTCTATTTGGATTTAGTTCAAGATTCTTTTTAAGAAAAGGATTCAATGCACTAAACTTTAACAAACTAAGAGGTGCACATTGACAGAAAATCTTCTTATATACAGTGTTTTGCTAAAAAATACCTGGAAGCCCATTATACATGGCTTTCGTTTTAATGACGGTACCTTTCTTTCATTCTTTATGGCTAAGCTAATTAAACAACGATCAATGTAGGTAAATTGTACCAGGAAAAATTGTTTTAAAATAATTAACGACGTTTCGAGCATAGCCCGTTATCAAGTGAGATAGAAAAGCGATGTTAGAACTAAAAACCGTTAAAAGAATATGGAATTCGACGAATGGAATAGGAGGACGAATGTAAGAGCATGGAAAAGAAATATATGGAAAAAGCTAATAAAAATGAATATATATATACATATACGCAAATACAGAATATATGTATATGTGTATATATGCACACTAATATGAAGAAAAGAAAAAAACAAAGAAAAAGGAGGGGAGGGGGGGAGGGGTTTATTGAAGATACGTAAACTGTTTATTGAGTCCAGAAAGATATAAAGTTCCAAGTTTAAAAATTATCCGTTTTTCCAGTGACTTTCTCTTTGCACTGTCCGTTGGGGCAAACAAAAGGCCAAGAACTACCATGTCATCTTCTGTGTGATTCGCCAGGTTAAAATGTTTGGAAATGTTGCTATCAGGATCACTTTCGTGTTTGTTGTTGAGGTGGATTTTGTTCCTGACATTACGTAAATGCTCACCAAACCTGTTGTTGATCTGGCGTGATGTTTCACCAATATACAGAACATTACATTCGGTGCAAGGAAGAACAGGTGAAGCTTGATTTAACAGAAAATGACTTGTTACCATTAGAAATGGTGGTAGATGGGTTGATGTGGTTGCAGGTTTGACAGAGGTGGTGGTGGCAAGGTGAGGTACCAGGAGATTTAGGTGAACGAAGGCTGCTGCGTACAAGGTAGTCTTTGATGTTTTTATCCTTTTTGTAGGCCAACAGAGGTGGAGCTTTGAATATTTTCTTTGTAATTGAGTCGTTGTGTAGAATGGAGAGGTTGTTGTATACAATATCTTTAATTTGTTTGTTGAGTGGGTGGTAGGTGAGAGCAAAAGCTATACGGTTATCAGCATTTGTTCTGTCGACCGGTTTAAGGGCTTCATCCTGAGTGATGTTGTTGACTTTGGCGATAGCAGACATAGTTATCTTTTCAGGGAAAGCTAATTAAACGCCTGGCATTTGATTTGCGCTAGAAGATACGGGAAATAAATAACATCCATTGCTTTTGTAAGATTAAAAATTTACATAAAACATGTGTATTTTACTAGATACACCACTCATGTTTACGGCATTCTAATTGGCTAGAATTATCACGAGCCACTGTATCAACACTCTACATTTGTGTGTTCCATAGTAAAACTTTTTAAGAAGAGATATGCACAATATGCAATCGTTAGAGCTGAAACATCTTGATACTTAGAACATCACCGAGATGCTTTCGGTATAAGTTGTCAATGAATTGTTAGAGCTCCATATATTTATATAACAAAATAATTTCTTGAAATGGAGATGATTTTTCTTTTTGTTTGACATCTTTTGCGAAATTTGCTTTGTGTTTAAGTTCTCTTAATATCCAAGCATTCAGCTACTATGTCAGTATGGACTTTATTCTTATAACACTGTCGAACAGACAATTTCTTCTGAGCAGCGTCATGCTGCTTGGTTATTACTAGAAGCATAACCAGGGTGGTAAGATTTGGGTGCATTGGGGGGAAGGGGCGTCTGTCCTTTTTGCTTCCCGCTCGCTACGTCACTTGTTAAGACAATGTCTGTGTGTTTAGGCTCCCTATCTTGATACTTTTCTACTAAATAGTTTATAATACAATCGTAATTAAAACAAGGAGAAGTTTCACCGTTTTCCTTCTAGAATCGTCCTTTCACCTTGATATCAACATCGCTTTTCTTTTTGCTCATTATCCAAAGCTTCATACTCTGAGAAAGAAAAGTACTTTTCTGTATTACAATGTAACCTCACTGTTGCGTGCAATCTCGTGTTTGATGCTCTTAGGTTTTTCATTGAATAACAATGCCCTGTGTTTTTGCGCTTTTGTGAAAGGACAGTAAAAATTCGACTTTGAAGTCTAAAGTATAAAATCCAGGTCATGTCCTCTTTCATGTCATCTAGTCTTTTGAGCCTTTTATCTGTATTTTTGTGTATATGGGAAGGCTAGGATTACTTTAATCAAGACTTTGGAAATTTATAAATGATCTTGAAATGTTATTAAGGCTTCATTGAATGAAATTTAATTTTGTTTGATGTGTGACAGGGTACGCCTTTTCGGTGTCTCTTGGGCATTTATTTTTGGCATAGAGTGCACGATTGTTGAGTTTGTGTTTATTGTGCACAAGCAATGCAGAAGCAAGTATTACATTGTGTCTGTTAAATGGCCAAAGCAACAAACGTGCAAATGTGCATTGGCCTTGAGTATATAAACTTTATGTTGGCATAGTTTCTTCCTCACACGTTACATGACCACCTGAAGCTGGAATGTGGAAAGCAAAGGTTTTTCTTGTGACCCTGCCACCCAACCCATGTCTAAGCGTTTTCAGGTTTTTGCATTTATGTCAACTTTTTACTTCTTTTCCTCGTTCATTAATAAATGGACGAATGGCTTGCGACTTTTGCATGAACAAGATCTTGCTAGTCGGCGGAAGAAGGCCATTGTTTTTTCTTCTCAACCCCCTCAAAAACAGTTGGGGTTTTATTTATGACCGACTATGCGATTGGAGCACCGACAGCCCATAACTAAATGGTCCAAATGATGAGAGAACGCCACCTTCAGTCTTATGATTAATATTCTGAGAACCATCCTACCCTTATTTGCTAAAGGTTTTTGTTTTGGAAGCCTGGAACAAATATGAAACAAAAATGTCTAAACCAAAACCTAGGCATTTTTCAGCAAACAAAATTCCTGTGATCAAAATGGTGATTTCTGTGAACGTACCAGAAATGGTCATGCTTTCTCTGTGACAGAGTAACGGTAGTAGGAAATCCATTTAGATTTTCTGCTACCGGCCTTCAATCTCTTCTCTAAGCAGGGGGTTTCACTTTTAATGCTAAATACGGGGTGCCTTTGAAGACTGAAGCAACTTCTGATGTAAGCAGCCTGTATTTGGATCGTTGTATTGATAAAGAGCTTAATGTTCAGGCAGTGTATCAACATGCCTAGGTAAACTAATGGATGAGTGTAGAGAAATTCAAAGAAAACAATCGTCAAAGAAAATGATGATGTAAATGGTCCAAAGTTTACTTAGTATCAAATTAAATGAATCCAATGCAAACATTTACTTTCGAGCATTTAGCTGACTAATAACATTTGATTACGAAAAATTGCACAGCAGATTCAAATAGAGACACAAAGAAAAAGGCAACTTCAGCTAATAAGTCACCGTATTTGTGCAAAGAGCCAATGTAATCCTCAAATCGAGTATTAGCTACAACTTGGTATATATTGTTTTGTAAGCGCTGAGCAAGTTCTTTGCGAGAGTCTTTTGTGTCTTTTTATTTTTTATGGCGTTACTTTCTTACACATAATTTATTCGTTGACTCTAATGCTTTCACATTCGCTCTCATGCGAGGCAATTTCTTATTCGGCTGAGAATAAGTGTAAAGATGTTCATATGTTTTGAAAGCTATGTAAAAAGGAACTTTCGTGCCTGTCAAGGCCCCCTCCCCAAAAAAAACCAACTTCTAAGAAATGCAAATAATGGGGTCAAGACATCAAAAAGACTGTAAAACTTTTGAGCTGTAAAGATGGGCTATAAAACTTTTGATGGCAACTGTAACGTTACTGTAATTAAACGCGATTTCGTGATAAATATCCCTTACTCATGCACCTTAAAATCAATTCAAAGAAATACCTTCTTTGATGTCATGTCAGTACAGATACAAACACTTATCGTGTTTGCCAATATGAATTACAAAAATACAACAAAAATTATACTTTGCATATGAAGATAAGAATTAGAGCATAAAGCACTAAGAAAAAATTTACCAACAAGAAAACGTCATTTACTAGCAAGGAAACATTTGACGGGAACCTCAAGCAGGCTATACTTGAACCACTCTCGGGATCCTCGTGGCTTTATTTTCATAGAGAGGGCAGACGTAACTGTAATTATTATGAATAAGGTGTGTCTGGCCTGGGCGTGCTTTTAGAAAAAACGGGCTTGTTCCCAGCCTCCTGACTTTGAGTCAAATCCTTACTCGAAGTTTTTCCATTTTTACCAAGCCTTTCATTAACTCATGCGCATGAATTTTTGTCAATAGAAAAGGCCACTTGTGCATAATGACACTGCTTTTCGGAGACAGCTTGGTGTTTCGCAGCACGAAAAAGATATTGAGAAAATGTTCATTTTTATTTTGAGGTTTCGCCACTTCAGCATACAAATCAAGAATTTTCCATTTATGTGGGCTGCTAAGATATAATGAGGTACCTTTCCAGGTTATGGAAACTTAACACACAGCAGCAGCATGTCGAGAAGGCAAATGCTTTATTGGTTCCGTAACCACAGAATATGCAAGTCTCCAAAGACATTCGGGTAGATTTCCTCAGCGGACTTACAGATTGGAAGAGACATACTTGTCAGTTCTATGAAAAACGCCGACCACGGATGAGCAATGCAATTCAATAACTGATCGCACGGCAGACACCCTACCGTGCTTTTCTCCTTCCACTTAACCCATAATCCACTTCAACAGTGATTAAACCCACAAAACTCTACAAGTTTGGTCTCTTTTTTGGAAAAGTGTGTGCCAATATACGTAAAATTGAAGCGACCCGCTTGCGTGTGATTGTAAAAGCCTGTGCGAAACCAATGGCTAAAACAAAGGAAATTGTGTGCTTTTCGACTTAGCAAGATATCACACGTTAAATGTCTTTTATCAATAGCAACCACTTTTCGACTCAGAAGCCCTGTGAAGTTGAATCTGCTGTTAGAGAATCTTCCATGTGAAATTTGTCGCTTTTTCGGTGAATATTGATTTGGATGCCTGTAGAGAGATCGCTTTCAAGAGTATTAAATTTACAAGTGTTTTGTCATAGTATTTAAGTGACCATATCAAAGCCTGAAAGACTGCACTTGACACAGAGGCCTGAACCCGAGAGAGATTTCGTTTGTGTCTAAAATTATTCTTTAAGTATTTCTGTAGCAATATCATATCTAAAAGTTTCAAAGATACTTTGCCAGGTAAAAGAATAATTTTTCACATGAAAAGTAACCAAAAACGAAAATAATGTAATTGTCAGGTATCATCTTTTGCTCTAAATGGTAGCGATGCCATCATCTGACTGGATCATTCGTTTTGCTGCAAGTGAATTAAGCCATCAGATTTTCGTCCTGGAATAAGTAAACTTTTAACATGTTTTTGTTCTGTTTTGCGCAACGCATGCTACATAGATTCCTATTTCCTGCCGTCGTTGAAAAGACGATTTCATGAAATCTATTGAAAATTTGCTAATCGCGGTCGAGCCCATTTAACGGCTGTTGTTCTTTTTATACTGCAGCAGACATGAAAGAATTTATTTGAACTTATGCTTGTTTGACTGCCTGCTGTAAGCAAAGAAGCCATATGATTTTAGCGTTAGCACTGCGCATCTCTAAGCTTTGACACTTGTCAAACGACCTCAGGAACGGCAAAACTGGGTTTTCCGTTCAGCATTTTACCCATTTTGTCGGAAAACATCTAACATCTTAATAGAAATCACTCTAAGGTTTTCGTGTTACTCGCCGCATCTTGTTATTTATATACTGAATGAAATTTTTATTCTAATGCTGTATTGTAAACCGTAATACGCCGGTGTGATAACAAGGAGCTTGGGATGTTGACTTAGATGCGTTTGACTCTTTTGTTGCTTTCCATACTCCAAGATACGAGTCAGGAGAGAGACCGGACCTCGTAAGAAGGCCCTAATGAGGTGAAAGCCACATTTACAGAATCAGCACTGCTTAAGAATATCTTGAAAAATGTTTATATTTGACCAGTGAGGGCTGCTGCTTTCATGTCAGTATTGCTACAGTACAATCAACTACAAAACAGTGAGTCAAATTCAACGTTGTCATGTCACAAACAAGGCACATTTTGATTGCTACGTTACTTCTTATAACGTGCAACGGGCCAACTTCTGGAAATTGGATGTAAGTTTTGGAGTTTTCTGCTTTTAATTGTCTTTAGGTTTCTCAAATGAATCTCGTGCATTTACTTCTGCCCTTAGTCTATTTTGCAAGAAAATTCGAGACGCTATTGATTCTTTTTAAAAAGCATCACCGATTTCTTGGTTTTTCAGACTTCCTGCTACTCTTTTTATTTCACTTATAGTCATTGACACGTTAAACTTAGACAAAAATTTGCTTGTACTTCATGGAAAATGCACTTGGCAAACCTTTCAACTGTCTTAATGTCATTATAGTACTAGCGAACTTATAAAGAATTCCATATCTAGCATCTATCTAGACTCTTAAACCGCGCGAAGCTGTGTCGAGATGGAGTCAGTTGTCGTCTTTTCAACTCAATACAGATGCAGTTAATCGTGATATGCTCAAATGCAGGCGATTGAAGGAAAGTTTTGAAGTTAGCCTTTCTGATCAACGTGGTAAACAGGCTAGCAATTTGAAGTAAACATTACATACAAACTATTGAATTCTGGAATGATTAATTTTGGCAACAGAAAGGGATTGCGAAAGCATTCCTTATAAACTGAAATGAAAATAGACACACAGAGAATTTACAATAAAAGGAAACGTTGAAAAAATCCCACCAGAGAAAAGTTTAGAGAAAGGGAGAAATAAGTAAGTAGAGAGATGAGAATGAATATGAAGCTTATTAGAATTCGAATGTTTGCTAAACTAGTCTGGAATATCTGACAAAGGGGACATGGCCCCGAGTCAGAAATAAATAGAGTAACTTGAACTAGGAAAAAAATATGCATATCCTTTTTGAAACTAAAGAGATATCAGTAAAAATTCATTTCATTATCCTTTCATATTTGCAGCATGAAAACAAATGCCATTTCTAACGAAATTTACAGCTTTATCGGTGTGTCATAGAGTGCTTGATTCCTTATAAACAGAAATATACATGCTTTTGGTTTCCTTAACAAGATGCCAGTTCAAGATATTTCCTGCAGTGCTTGAATCTGTCTGTTCTTATTTTTGCCTCTAAATAACTACAGATTTTGCCGGTTAATGTTGCCTGTTATGACGTTATGTTAATTTGCTCTCAGTAAGCAATTAGATACAAATATATCTTCGGGTTGAGATGTGCTCATCTTTATTTTCAATGAAATTAGCGTTTCCTTTACGTTGCAAACAAAAAGCTTGAGTAACGTTTGGTCGAAGTAGATAGTGGCAATAAGCTCTACCAATTCATATTTTTGACAATCATGGTGCTATATTTTGAAAATTAACATTCAAAACAAACAAATTCTAATGCATTAATTGGATATTTGAAAGCCAATGTTTCATTCTTTTAACATATACAGCGAACCATCAAAAATGCAGATTTATGCTCAAGTGCATAATATCATTTTGTACTTATATTGTAATATCATAATATCATTCCCAATGTGTGATATCATGATCCCACTAACACGCTTAGTAAACAGCAATAAAATATTATGAATGTCAATGACACAACGGTGCATTCTAACAATCTCAAGTTGTTATATTAGTCTAATGTTTAAATGCAAAAAGATCTTGTGAGTTGCTTGCAGATTCGAAACAAAGATCAAGTAACCAACTTGATTCAAACAAATCACATGGTCCACTTGTAAATTTTCAAAAAGCTCTAACTCTGGTAGGTTCGAAGCTTTTCGTTCAGGTAAATATAGACACAGTTAATTTCTTATGTTGTATTTCTTTCTATCAAGTGAACTAAGAAATTCGTGCAAAAGATTGCCATATTATTCCATTATTTAGTAATGTTAAGGTGTTTTAGATTACCTAAAGCCAAAGTTGCAAGAATTTCCTCAGTTTATAGGAAGATTGTTTCGGTGTTGCAATTGTTTTCGTTATATTAACAAAGAAAAAGTGCAAAACGGCTTGTTGAGCAACGGTCCTGTCAAACGCAGAAGGGTGATAGGAGCAGAGCATTTTTTGGTGTTCCTCTGGGATATTTTTCAGATTTATTAAATCGAACATGCAATTAACCACGGCGATTTTGCCATTTTTCTTACTTAAAGTGACTTGGAGTATTGAATAATATTGAAACAGCCTCAGGGCTTAAAATTCGCACAAAATCGCTATTTCAAACCAATTACAAAAAAAATCTAGTTTCTTTTATGTATGTAGGAATTAGGATACATTTACTTAAATTCATATTATTACCATATCAGTCATTTGAGTTTGTAAATGATAAGCTACCAGAGAATCTATCGACATGTGTTTCGTATTTTTAAAGATAAACTTTTCAGTTTTCTTTTAATTTTAATCTCGCTATTTCTGTTAGAACACTACCCTCCATGTATTTTATTGATGCTTTAAAGATTATGATTTTACCAAAAGCTGCATTTAAATAGCATGTCTAGTTGAATTTGTCTTCAAGAACACCGCACGAGAACTTCAAGTCAAGCCCCTGTGATTTCAACGATAAAGTGGGTAGATAAAATCTCGCTAAGGACTTTGGCAGCCTTGTCAGGAAAAAGTTTCATTTTCGATCTTTTTAAAATAATTTATCTTCTTTCTTATAAGTGTTGGGTCTTCTTCTTTCTTGAAAATGTCATACTAATGAAGAATCTTGCCAACAAGCAGTTGGAAGAGAATGTCCAAAACTTAACCAAACTGTTTAGGGCTTAGTCTTACAATACAAATAACTAGTATGTTAACTTTCTACTTGCATTATTTATAGCCTTATACTTTCTGACCGCATATAGTTGTTAATATGATTTCAGCACAACTATCAGGCAAATCATATTGGCTGTTTCTCACGATACATCAATAAATCACGTCATCTTTAAAAAAGTAAGATGTTACTAGCACGAAAGGTATAATTTATCAATTATCAATTGATACGATGTATCGATTTATCATAGAAAAATTGAGCAAATGGTTATTGTTTTGTGAAATGAAATATAACGTAAGCATTTACTGAATAGAAAGTTGCGTCTTAAGATCTTTTTCTCCAATTTAAGTATGCTCACAGGAATGTTGATACTTCTGCAACAATAAAAGAAAACTTGCGATAAACCAGCATTTTATGAATTTATAATTTTTGAATTCATACTTAATGAATTTCATAATTTTTTTTAGATAATAAGTCAGATTTCAAATGAAAATAATTGATGGGAGAACTAATGACGCATCATGGGAGAACTTATGGGAGAACTTATGACGCTTACATCGCGCAAAATGAATTTTGATCTCTGAATTTTATAAGAAATGTTGGAGAGAGCATAAAGTAGTTGACAGTATTCTGGAAGAAATTATGATAAACTAATGACTACTACGGATGAACTATCAATAACAAAATTAGCTGATTGAGACAAAGCAAAAATGCATCTTAGTTTTTAGTAGATAAAACCTGTTGATTTTAATGTAACTGTAACACTTTACCCTTTCGGGCCTTACAATTCATGTTCAATAACTTTTGTCTCAAGCTGCAACAAGAATAAGATAAATGTGTTCTAAACAGGAGGATGTGTTGTTCACAAATTTAAGAAGTTTTTTCATAAAGATAGCGAGTGTAAGTACGGTCGTGTCAAGGAAAACACAAACTAGAAGATTATTGCAATCAAATGTCATTCTGTATATCGGATAAAAAGTATATAAATTATATGATAAAGCATAGAGATTATGTACTAAGCGTTTGCTGTGAATTGATTAAATATTTTAAAGAATGCGAAAGAATTCTCAGCCAAATTCTTCCCTAACCCACATGTAACGAATGAAGTCTTAATTTTTTTAATTATGGAGATCTCTTATTATTAATTATTGGAGATACTCTAAATTTTATTTTTCAGTAGTGATGCACCATTCAAGAGTTAGATACAGTGGCATATTTGTGATATACCACAGACTTTTTTCTATTCTTTGTTAAAAGCTTAAAGCTCCGATTTTTAAACATGGAAAATAGAGAGAAGATAAATTGTTTATGTTCAATTGGGTTGCTTTCACTGGTAGTTCCTTGTGATTTTGTGTTGGTAAGACGTTGAAAGATCTCTTAGGAGACTGATACAAATAACTTGTTTAAGTGGATCTTGGTAAATTTCCGATAAAACGAAAACTGGGCACTGAATAATGAGCGTAGTTTATAAAGACAAGTAAAAAGAATCATTTCTTGGTGTATCTTGAAAATCTCAGCCAGTTTCAAATTAAAAGCAACCATTATCTATTTTCTGGCTAGTTTTACTGTAATTTCAAGACGCTGTATGAATTGGCAGCCAGCAGTGGATTAATGTGAATGTATGATTTGAATTTCTATGGTTGGTTAAAAAGCTTTAAAGTAGCATGCAGCAAGTGACTGCATTAGAACCTTATTCTGTTACAAAATATTCTCTATTCCTAGCAGTGGCGTTAAGGAACAGTTCGGGGACCCTTGCACAATCATATTTTTTGCAAAATCCAGGGAAAATACTGATATCAGCTAGGAAAGTACTCTATACGATACAAAGATTGAAGGATCAATACGGAACAAAACAGTTTTAAGTAATAAAAATATACGAAAGATGTTAATTATCTAGAAACTGTTCAAAATCAATGAATATGATTATCCACGGGCTTTCATTTTGGCAACAGTGTCGATTAGCAAACTTTTAGTTTTCAAAGGAAAAAATTCACGGCCCGCGCCACAAGTTTCAGAGTGGAGGGGATAAAAAAATATTTAATGGATCGAACCTGAAGTTAGTCACTAAAACTCTTCGACATTTCGAGGCCAAATAAAAAGAAGGAGCGCCGGGGAATATGATGGAAAAAGGGGTGACTATTTCCGATGGAAAAGGAAAGAGGGTCCGGGGTTGCCCCCTCGGGAAGATTTTGGCCATCGCATCTTCCTGTTTGGCCCACAGCAAAATCAAATCATATTTTGCAGCACTTGACATCTGACAATTTAAAGTATCTTTCTCTCTTTTCATTCTTTTTTCTTTTTATGATAAATTCCTCTGGGTACAAATTCAGCGAACGTACTGTTCTACAATTGGCTCTGCAAAAATTTACTTACCAAATCTAAGAATTATATTCCACAAAACTTACAATAAAACGAGTGTAATAGATTAACAAATTATAAATTTCTCAGATGAAAAATCATGGATCAAAATCTTTTCAGAAATTGAAATTCGTCCTGTTGGATTTGAGATACCTTCAATTTTTTTTATCAGGATTTGTTGAATAAAGAAAGATGTTTATCTTATATTGAAATTAGCTAATTAATTTTTTTTCTGCTTGAATTGGCTTTTTGAAGATATTTCATCCAAATTATATACTTTTAGACTTAGACAAAGTAAATTTGGATAAATAATTATTGGTGTCTTCATGTAACATATCAACTTGGGAATATTTGTTCCTTAAATGACTGTTTATACCAACTAGTACAAACAAAACTTTACCGTGACAACCTTTAGGGAGCCCTTAGGAGTTGCGTCAGCCAGTAAATGTTGGTTAGAATAATATCAACTGACTTCAGATCATATAATACCTTGATATTGAATTGAGCGTAGCATCAATAACTGAATTTGAAACACAGATTTAGAAGTTTTGTGCTAGATTTTGTCAGGTACACTACGTTAATGCTTCAAGCACCAACACGCATTTGTTTATATCCTTGAAGCTTAATAGAATCACTAGCATGATATGAACATTTGGCATTAAAAATTGGGTTTTCAAAAATATTTAAAACAGAAGTGATCAAGCTAGGTTATATAGTTTTTGAGCAAAAATGAACCCAAAAAAGAATTTTCTGTAACTAACCTACCCAGTTAGTTATATTTAAAGATAAGCAAATTCTCGTTCAAGGAAAAGTATTTTTATGACTAGAGGTCAAAATTTGCTCAATCCAGTATGAATCCCACAGCAATCCATTCTTTCAGTACTTAACAGAAGAACATTCTTAAGAAACTTTCAGGACTGGACCGAATTCTTAGTTCCTTTTGAAGATTTTCGAGTGCAATTTACATCGATTAGAATTGCGCAAATTGCGATCTGAAAATGTAATTATGCGATTGTCACTTTTTGCTCAACAATTTTTTGAACCAAAAAGATCATCTTTAATTTTTGTCCAAAATTGAATAAAAGTTAGAAATTTCAATCGACAGTTATGAAAAAACGCTGAAACCACAGACAGGTATTATAACAAATTGTTGGATGGAAGAACGTTTTGCTAAGACATTCATATTTTGTGAAAATTTACCTTATTGCACTTCTATGAAATTATTTTCTTTCACTGAATCCATAATTTTGACGTACTCGAGTCTTGACTGCATGTAAAGGAAGGCTGCACAAAGTGTTCGTGGCGGTTGTGTTGCTGGAATGGTCAAATGATGCTTTCACAATAAATTTAAAGTTCCTTGCTCTTCGATCCACAGACTTGAAATATTCTTTTCCTCCTTGAAAAGCCTTGAAATTCATTTTCTAATTGCTACAGACTAACAAAAACTACAATGCACAAGAATTTACTTGCTTTTAGGCCAGATTTCTGACCAATTGAAGTGAGATTTTTTTTCTTACATTTTTGCATTAGCGCATTCATATGTTGTGTACCAGGGGTTTTCAAGGTGTTTCTTAAATGTGGTACATCATTCGGAGTCACATCTGCACATGGCCAGTGATTCTTGTGCAAAACGGAATTCCTTTTTGACTTGCCTTTAGAACTAGTGAGACATAGCATGACATTATCGTGCCAGGTAACTTTTTCAATTCTGCTGTTCTTATTTGCAATACATTCTAAAAAGGAATTATGCAACTTTGCACGCTTTGCCCTGTTAAATGCGAATCAATCTTCTTAAATTGGGTCTCTTCATTATATTTTAAAGGTATCTGAGTTTAACGTCTATCAACACAAATGGAATGATTGACTGCAATTCGGTGTCGAACCTCAATTCCTACCATCTTCAACTTTGTCGCAGTAGACCACGCGTCATCCGAATAGTCGGTCTTGGCATGCAGATAGCTGTCGACGAATGCCAGCGCCAGTTTCGACGGGAAAGGTGGAACTGTCCCTTGCTCACCAATGAAAAGTCAAGAAATGTATTTGGTCGTGTTCTCGATCGAGGTAATCCAATTTTCTTTGAAATTGTTAAACGGAATACCTAAAAGTATCTAGAAACGTGATCATTCCAATCCAACTGAAAAGTGATTTGAAATTTTGTTGCTAAACGAATTATTTCGTCAACTACAGCGTCACCTGAGCAGTTTGTTGCCATTACGATGAGACGAATAGCAACCCATAATCTTGGCCAAAATTGCTTCCCAGGTTCATCGAATGATCAAGACGGCATAGGTTTCATATCCATATAGCTACTCGCATTTCTGGCGCTTGTCAGAGGCAACTGTCACCAAGACGCAGTTTCAACACAATAGTTTTCAGCAAAAATTTTCAGTAATAACGAAAAAATGTGCCTAAAAGGTCACATAATGCATTTGGGGATGGCAAAACAATTTCTCAAGAAGATATGTAGCTTTTAGCGAATACTGTTAGGGTTTAGCGAAAAAAGAGTGTTGCAATACGATGCAGAGGTCACTTTGCACCGTCAGCGGTTTTTAGCAGCTAGGATTGGAATCGAATACGGCGCGACCAGTGTTACTACGCCATCAGATACTGCGTAGAGACGGAAGCAACACATGAAGTTCCATCAATTGTAACACTTACTATCGCTTAACCTTTGAAAAGATATTGCAAAAATGATTTACCGCTTCTCCAATCACCATGCTTAAACACACTTGTATAACAATAACTGATAAAGAGTGCGGTGTGTGAATAAGAAATAAAGTTTCCAATTAGCAAATATTTATTGCATCTTCTCTGAATAAAGGCGAAGACCAAGAACAATGCGGCAACGCTTTGAAGACAAGGCTAGATGAGCTCACAAAAGGAGAGCTTATTTAAGATTAATATGATGTACAAGACTTGCTCTGGTCGGCAGAATAAATCACTCTTTAGGATTATCCGCAGTTGACAAGGCTGCTAAAACCGGCAGGAACTAACGTATCTCCTGGTTTGTAACCAACAGATTCCCTTCTGTCTATCACCCTTCTTTCAAATATCACAACGGAATCATGTAACTTTTGACCAGACATTAACAAATAGCGCCGTTTGTCAGAGCAAAACCAGGTAAATCTACCCGGTGTCAAGATTTACGCAAACGGGAGCTGGTCTGTGCTGGAAGGCATCAAGCCGGTTGTCAAAAGGTGCTGCCTTTCATTGTTTTAAAAACTGTATATTTAAGACATCTAAGGTGGAAATGTGCCTTGTGAAAGAAATTGACAATTTATGGAATCATCTGCAAGTCTAACAAAGTAGCCTCCTCAAAGGAAGTTGTAGTTAACTACAACTAGCTGTTAAATGATGCTTTAATCAGACCGCGGTAATTTCTAATCCAATGCATTCAATAACATTTCAACAATATCTATGGCATCGTGCTGAACTCTTTCCTTTACTACCTACACGTCTTTTAACAGCTTTGCAATATTCCTCTCAATGTTCTTATTAAAGAGTGCCTTGTTGCCTTCTTGATGTTGACTGTTGCTCGTCTTCATCTCTCTCAGTCTCTCAGTCAAGATAATAAGTTTTGAAAAAGGTTATTATTCCATTATTTTTGTTGCTATGTATTGACTTTGTAGCTTAAGTTAAGTGAAGTTTATATGTTCTGAATTGTGAAAAAATAGACATGAACTTTAAAACCATAGGTTCACTTTCTGACTACTTATTTTCAAGAATATGATTTCCAGATTTAAGAGAGCTTTCCAGTATGTTTATTCCAAAAGGGAGGCTCCCTCAAGGCTTTAGAAAAAATCTATGAAATTCCATCTTGACGAAATGCTTACAAGTAAAATAGTACTGTACAAACATACAGGTGAATAGGGACATATACACCTTTGTGGTACAGGAACATCCAGGACCAGCAGTCATTAAAATTAAGCCAAGGCTCGGCTTCAACAAAAGTTTCTAAGTAGAGAATAATTGTTTTGAATAAAGTTTGAAATATACTTTTCAGAATGTTACAAAGTAGCGTTAGAAATATAAAAAATGTACGTGCAACTTATGTACGTGAAAGAATAACAGAAGATGCGTTGCTTGGATGGTCTTAAAGTGACAGGTTTTGAACCTTAAACCACATGCCAAACAGCCTTAAGGGTGATAGAATTTGTCGCCAAGAGGACAATTTTGTCCACTGAATATTGCAAAATAAAGTTGTTGCAGTAATTCTGCGATACGACCTACACAACATAAACAGGTTTGACCAAACTTTTGACAAGGTCAAGCCTATTCTCAAACTCGAATCAGTTCATTCCCAAAAAGATGGTTTATTGTATGTATTATTATGCTATAAGGGAACCAAAAGTTTTGTAAATAACAAAAAAAATATGTTATCCAGAATTATGAATAAGCCTTTTAGTCAGGTGAAAGGGATAGCCCCTCTAATTCTGATTATTTCTCTCAGAAATGTAGATTTTTGCATGAATTCTCTAGATGTGTTTAGATCTTAGTGTCAAAGTTCAATTGAAGTCAAAGTTTCATTGTTGCAAGAGGTTGAAAAATTTTATTCAGTGTAGATGAAATATCCTCCTAATTTTATTCTATCCTCCTAAAATTGTCCTTGTTTTCTGTTGTCAGCTTTTTCAGCATACCTATTCTGTGCAGTGCAAGCTGACCTGGCTAGCTTATGTACAAAAGGGTCTTTGATCATGATCTTAAAAAGACTTTATATTATTGCCATAGGAACTAAAGAGACGGCCTTTATTCACGCAATAACATCTGCAGGCGTAGCATTCTCTGTTACCCAATCATGCAGTCGAGGCATGTTTCCAGATTGCGATAAGTGTGACAAGTCAAAGAAAGGCCACGTCGACAAAAGTGGTGAATGGAAGTGGGGTGAGTGCAACGATAATGTAAATGAAGGATTAAAATTTGCAGAAGAATTTATTGATTCAACAGAAAAGTATGTTGATCGGATAAGACGAAGCAGAAAGAGACACTTGCGGCGCACAATGAACCTGCACAACAACAGAGCTGGTCGGTTGGTATGTAGCTCCCTACCACGTTCTTATCTCGTAAAATTTTCTTATCTAGCATAATTTGGTTTAAGTTTTCTTGGATGTTCCACAGCAATTGCACTTTTCATTCAACATCCGAATAAAGAGCTCCTCCAGCCAAAATTTACAATCTTCTTCTATGAGCTAATCTTAAAGAATTTAACCTTTTGATCTCTGTTTTTTGGTTTCAAATATTATGTATAGCTTTTGAATTAGAATTGCTTACGTTCACTAATGAATTGCATCGCGAGAAAATCAATTTTCAATTCGGTGACACTGTTACGGAACTATGACATCACGCTGTGTGTGCGTTGCAATTTCACCGAATCGAGTTGTGAGGCGATTACGAAATTTGTTGCGCTTTTAGAAAAGTCCGAACATCTTGATATTGCATAAGATTTTATCTTATCCCAGAATTATATAGCTAAATTGATGGAAAATACAAATATTTCTCAATTTTAGCAACTAGCTCTTTTTTATAGGAGATTTAGAAGCTAAGTATGAAAATAATTGTGATGGACGGACAAATAATCTTTTTGAAATTTCTTCTAATCGAATTTATTTTATAGAAATTTTTACCTATTTTATAATTGATAATCCTGGTTACTTTTAACTGTCCATTTGTTTTCGTGAAAAAATGTTTTGTCACACATACGGACAATCTCATTTCCCTCTGGTCTGTCCTTTCGTCAAAATAGTTTCATCCGGCACATGAAAAAAATAAATCATATCACCTTTTGCCTTTTAACTATCTCATTTCAATATAACAACCATGTTTATTGCATTTAATCAATACTCAATAACGTAGTTCAACTGAAATTCAACAATTTCACCTTCTCCGTCCGTTAAAAAAATGTTTTCAATCACACTTGGGTCCCTGTGTTTCACCCGCGTTTCATTTCCTGCTTGCATTTATAAGTGTATTGTGGTTTCATAAGAAATGCTTCTTTGAATGATTGAAACGTTTGAAATTATTACTTCAAGAGACAAAATTAACCTCAATAGACACATCAAAATGTTTTTATTATTGTTTAAGACTTTCATCATATTCCTTCATCAAAGACATGTTCACCACAAATTCGTGACGGACGGACAATCGCAATCTCCCTTAAAATGAAAAAAATCCATATTTCTGCTCGTATCATCAACATTTTCCAGTCCGTCCGTCACGTCCGTCAGTCATGGTGATCCATTGGTAATTTTGACCTTAAAAGTTCCAAATGTTGAGAAAAAAAATTGTTTAAATTGTTTGATGACGTTTCTTGTTAAATTGTTTGCTGGGGTTTACGCGTTAAAAATATTTCAAATTTATATCAAGTTCGTTGGCTTAGATAGAATATTTGAACGCGTGAAATTAGTCTTTTCAGTGTTTTCTATCCCGTCCGTCCGCCATGACAGCCATTTGTATCCTTCTGAGGCGATGTGCTTATCCCAGACGTGATTGCTTCAACTCATCTACACCTCCTTATGGGTTCTTTCATGACACAAAAGGAGACAACTCAGGAATCATTTTTTGAAACTGACTTTTGAAACCTTATGAATTGTCGTTTGTCCGTCCGTCACGGAAATTGTCTTTTTTGAAAAAGTCCATTTATCTTTGTTGGGTATTTTCTCAGAAAAAGTTAACTTTTAAACGTTGTTTCTTAAGCAACTTATTCAAATGACTACTCGCCTAAAGACTTAAGTTTTAAATCCTTTTATCATTGTAAAACAGGCGTTAATTGACTCAATGATGAGTGTTTGCGGCTGTACAGGAGTGAGTGGCTCGTGCGCAACGAGGGTGTGTCGCAGAATTATGCCACCGTTCAAAATTGTCGGCGAGCGTATGAAAATGCTCTACAATGATGCTATTAAAATGCCACTTAACAGAAGAGGAAGGAAGCAGATCCGTGAAGCAAAAAGCTCCAAGATTAAGCAACTACTCTATTTCGAGAAGTCTCCCAACTTTTGCTTCTTTGATGCAGCCAAAGGAGTGCTCGGTACAAGCGGTCGTGTTTGCAATATTACATCTACTGGAATGGATAACTGCAGCCTGCTCTGTTGTGGCCAAGGATACAATATACAAATCAGACGGAACGTCGAAAGATGCAATTGCAAGTTCAAATGGTGCTGTAAAGTTGACTGTAACACTTGCGAATCACTCGAAAAGGTGCATACTTGCAAATAAACATTTGAAACAATGCATGCAATTGCACATGGTAGCATCGATAGAGGGTAGATCGACCTTTACTGTAAAGTCTAGGCTAAAGTAATTGACCAAAATGCAGTACGACAGAGGCTTTAATAGACTAATTTAAAGCCTTTTAATTAGTTAATCGACAATCGATCAAAATCTAGATCGTATAATCCTTCAATTATTTAGAGTTTACAAACTCGCAGAAATTTAGAACGTAATTTGCAGTATAAGCAAACTTGATACAGTCCCGAGACCATTTTTATGATTTGAAAATACCTTTAAATGAAGGTAGAACGAAGACAAGAGTAGATGCAAGACAATTGAGAGCAGCCTGGCAAAGTTTTGCTTTTAGTTGTAATCATGAATTAAAGGTGCACGGATTAATCAAACTTTAATGGAATTTTTGCCTTGTTACCTGATTTCTCCTGAAAGAAATGTGATTTACCATCTGAAAAAACTTTCCTCCCCAACAACGAATCCCTTTGAACAACTCACAAAGGAGGCGAATAATTTATCTATTCTGCTGAATTTTGAATCTGAGAAGAGGTCAAGACAGGCCAAAAATCTTGCTACTGTGGAGAAACAGTGTAACTTTTTGGGTCAGTATTGAGACACAGACATTAAGAATAACCATTTACTGTCTAGTATAATCAAAGAAGTTGCTGGAAAAGCAAATAGGTTATGAAGCCTTGGCCCTACGATAATCATTTTTCAAAAATCACCATCTATTTTTTGCCCTTCACTAGAAAATGACATGACTTTTCAACCTTTTAAAATTCATCATAATAAACCATGCAAGTGGGAGGGGTGCCGGTAGAAAAGCACACAATATCTCAGAGAAAGGGACCGAATACCTTAAAGAGGGCAATGCTAAGGAGGGAATTTGCTTAAACGTTAGGGGAATTTTCTTCTGATGCCTTCCCCCCTCTTTTGTCAGGAATAGGCCTCTGTGGCAGACATCAAATGAAGTTGTTGGTCAGACTGTGGCAGGTAATGCACTAAACAGGGAGGTTGGGCGTAGCTTTTTTCGATAAATTTCTTATTGCAGTTGCAACAGAGAAATGCATCCTAAATGAAAAAGTTTTTCAAATGCTGTTTCTAACATCAGCAAAGCAGTGAAAGACTAGCAAGGAATTGCGTCTGCAAAGGAAGTTTAGGTATATCAAATCACACATCAGGGTGAACTCGTATTTATTACACCATTTTGTAGCAAATTTTAGTTTAGAAGTAAATTCCCTTGTAAAAAACCACTATTATGCATTCTGTTTTTCTTATAATTATTTTGCTACGAAATGCTTCCGATAAGAAAAATCGATGGATAAAGTGTAAATGACGTTTTTCAACTGCCCAACTCAATATCTGCAAGTTGAAAGGGTCAGTTGGATTTGCTTTAAGCTCAAGGCTAACATGATTAAATGGTTTCGATGATATCATTGATTTTTGAACCAAAATTAGCAATAGGCTATTGCAAGTACGGCACTAACAAAGGCCAGACATGGAATGGGTCAGCAATCTGAGTAAACGTAATGGACAGTCTTTTATGGCAGTCGTACGAGCGATGTTTCTTTGTGTCGTAAGGGCAGCTTGAAAGGATTTCGAATCTACGAAAAAATATTTCACATTATATTTCACCCTTGAAATTTAAATGTTTATCAGAATAAGTTGTTGAAAATGTTTTGTAGCATTGCGTTCCAGCTCAATACTCAGAAAGCGTATAAACTGGTTTCTGATCAACGTTTGTTCTGAATGAAGTTCAAATAAGCAAAATGTTTTTACTAAATTTGGAAAAGGATTTGGAACTATGAATTTGGAACTATAAAACGATGTTTCTTTTCCTTTTAAATTGATATATCTTAGTTTATTTCCGATAAGTATTTGTTCTTAACATTAACAACTGGATTTTTTTCAATGAAAGAAAGTAGGTTTGAACACAAATATGACTAAACGCCAAGACAACACAGTTATGGCTGTGTAGTTTCTATCAAATATTTGAAAAAAGAACAGAAATTATTCTATAATTTTCCAAAACATTGTAATACGTTCTGGTATCATTAGCAGGGCCGCATATTAGAGCATGAGGAAATTGAAATTTCATGATTTATGTAACTACAAAAAATTCAATCAACGAGTTGAACAAAAATATTTTTTACTAAGTAAATGGAAATTAGAATTTTTGCTCCATTTTTTAATGATTGGTATCCGTCCATAATGATAACAGGACGTCGTGATTTTCTGGCTACCCGAGGCGGTATTATGGTTGCCACAGCAGAGTGAGAGAGTTTTCGAATATGAGCGATTCCAGTTTGCTGTAAAATGCACGATTTTTGGTAATGTGATCTATGCAACTTAATTGGATGGATTTTATTCAGATCGGGACAAAATCTCTCACATCCTGTTGTTGGGCCAAAGTCTTGATATCGGAACTTATCGGACGGCTTTGAGTTGTGAATAAAAAAGTTGTCTATTAACTGAATTTTCATTACGTCTTGGCCCAACATAACTAAGAATGGGCAAGGCACATGCTGCAATAGCGAAAACCTCGTAGGGGAGGGACAGTACAGTAGGTTCTTGTGCTTCAGCTTTTTGTGCTTCTTGAATGAACATTTTAAAATCTGCTTCAATGTTTTTCGACCATATCACTTTATTTTTCACTTTATCTGTCAGTAGATTAGACGATTTCAGTTCATCCTCACTTGTTGGTGCGAAGATTTTGAATATATTCTTTCTCTTGGCCATTTTTCTATAAAACATTGGTAATTTTCTTTCATAATTAAAATAATGTCTCTTATAACGTCCACGTTTCCGATGTTTTCTAATAACAAGGTGTTGTTTTTTAGTACTTGAAGCATTGTATAATCTATGATTTGTTTATATTGATTTTCATGTAGCGGGAGGACGTGATTGCAAAAACCATTCATAAAACAGGTTGTAATGTAAGAGGTTGTATGTTGTAAAAAGTTTTGGCAAAGACACTTGATAATTTTACATTGCTTGATATATGTAATAGGTTGTGAAGAGCATCCCTTTCTTCTTTTATGAAATTAGGGTGCCATGTCAGCTCGTATAAGATGGATACATCATGATCAATTATTTAAGCTTGCACACGTTAAGGTTGTGTTACGGTTGCGTTTAGGTGGGCAGCGTAACCAAACTGAACCATCAACCGGATGTGGGTTCCAGTTCCCAGCATGCTTATCGTAATACTTTTTCTGTCTAGATCTACTGGATAATAGGTTCTGTTGAGCTGAATGCCTAATAGACTGCAGAGACTGACGAACTGACTGTGAATACTCAGACTGTCTACATTGATTCTTTAAGGGAATTTGCAAGTCCAACTCAAGAGTTGTATGAGCTTGACGACCAAAGACTAACTCATAGGGACTAAACCCAGTAGACTCATGTGCTTGTGTTAGACGCATGAACAACAAAACTTACCCAGCAAAAGAGGACAAAATATCCTGCATAGTTCGATTATGGCGCTCGACAAGTCCATCACATTGAGGATGGTAAGCAGTAGTTCTAGACTTGTGTGTCCCAATTAACATAGAAATTTCCTGCATCAAATGGCTCTCGAAGTTGCGCCCTTGATCGGAGTGGATGATGGTGGGTGGACCAAAACGACTAAAAACATGTTCAGCTAAAATGTCAGCAACTGTATGAGCTTACTGATATTTTGTAGGGAAAACTTCACACCACTTCGTGAAGTGGTCCATGACAACAAGTAAGTGTTTGTTACCCCGGCTGGTTTCAGGTATAGGATCCATATAGTCCATTGCCCAGAAAACAAAAGGCTGATTGACTGTGACGTGTTGGAGGGGGGCAGTGTTTGAATCTAATTTGTTTCTGGCACAAATTTGGCAACATCATGGGCCAGAAAAAGCGATGTTTTGTGCGCAAAATGGTTCGCTTAATACCTAAATAGCCCGAGAAAGGGCTGCTGTGTATGCCTTGCAAAACAGATTGAATCAAAGCAGATGGAACAACAAAAGAATACTCTGGTAAAAGCCTCTCAGCAGTTCAAATTGACAAGAAGGCCATTAAAAAGGTGCAAGGAATCCCAACAATGCCAAAAAGCTTTTAATATAGGGTCATGAGACCAAGCAAATAGGGGTGGCTTAGGCATGTCTGCAGATTTGAGGCCAATGCTGAGCTTCTTAAAGATGAAAGCCTGGGGTTAAAGTTGTGGTACAGTTTTGGATAGGTTTTGTTGGCGTGTTAACACCCTGATTGCAACTAGATGAGACCAAACGTGAAAGTGCATCAGTATTTCCATTTTCAGAGTCTGGCCAATGGCGTAGCTCATAAGAACATTCCTGTAGGTCCATTATCCATCTGGCAATACGGCCTTTTGGCTCAATAGAGTGCAGCCAACGAAGAGCACTATGGTCTGTAACCACAGTAAGTTTGTTGCCTAATAAAAAGGGGCAAAAATGATCAGTGACAAATTTTATTGCTAATGCTTCCTTTTCAGTAGCAGAATATTTCTGTTCACGGTCTGATAATGATCTACTGGCATAAGAAAGAACATGTTCAATACCTGAATTATCAAGCTGAGTTAAAACAGCTCCAACACCAATATCGGATGCATCAGTTTGGAGTATAAATTGTTGGTCAAGCTGGGGATAAGCTAAGATAGGAACATTACATAAGTGGTATTTTAATGAATTAAATGCATCCTGTTGTTTTTGAGTCCACAAAAACTTAGCTCCTTTCTTGGTAAAGGCCACAAGTGGTGCGGATACTGTGGCAAACTTTGAAATAAAGCGACGGTAATACCCAGAAAGACCCAGAAATGAGCGAACCTGCTCAATATTCTGGGGGTTAGGGAGTTTAGAAACAGCTTCAATCTTTTTGGGATCAGTGTGAATACCCTTAGGAGAGACTACATGACCATGAAAAAGAACACTTGCAGCACCAAAATGACATTTGCTGGCTTTTACGCGTAAATTATGGGAGCGAAACCTTGTTAAAACACTTGCCAGGCGGTTACAGTGTTGCTTCAAGTTAGAAGAAGGAACAATGACATCATCGAAATAACCAAGGCATGTATCATATATGAGCCCACAATTTATATAGCATGTTGAAATGTAGCACAACCACCAGAAATACCAAAGGGAAGGCGGCGAAATTCCCATAAGCCATCAGGGGTGATAAATGCTGTCTTTTCCCTATCCTGGGGGTCACCACTGATTTGCCAATACCTTGATCGCAAATCTAGAGTGCTAAATAAGCAATAACCTAGGAGTGCATC